CGGATCGGGAAGCGACGGGAAGAGTTGGATCGATCCAATTTGTCATACCGTAGACGGGGGCGCAAGCGTACAGAGCAGCTGCATTTTGAGTGTGAACAGGAGATGGCGTCGTGCGCCGACTACTCTCGATTCGTACGTGGACATTTTTAGCATTTCGAAAACTGCGCTTCCCATGATAACTCGCAGAATGGCCAACACGACTTGAGTTGAATTTTAGCAAGATATGGTCTGGTGTCACTTATGGTATTTAGGGATAGTTCAGGAGCGTGACAGACGAACTGTTTTATCATTTCCTGGAGGTAGTATTTGAATGGCACACCTCTCGAATCTACTTTTTTAGTGTTCATGAAAAACTGGTAATTTGAACTTGATTCCGCTTTATTCAAAGAGAAATAATTGAAAAGAAGTCCCGAAAAAACAAGGAATTAGGTCTAAAGCTGTGTTCACAACTGGCGCGTGGACGCGGTACGCTTGCGGTTCATGTGTGCCCAAACGCGCGCTAACGTGCATCTACATGAGGAGTACAAGCGAGCCCGTGCAGAAGCCTCAAATGCTTACCGGCGAAAACGCAATCAGCATTTCCAACAGCAGTGTCGTGATCACTCCTCCAACCTGCGGATGATGTGGTCCGTGATCAACTCTGTCACTAGCCGTTCTCGTCAACATCATCAGCCAACGTGCGACATCACAGAAGTCTCGGATGACTTCCACAGCATTGTACATGATCCGTCCCGTCCGGCGCAGCTCCAGATTCCCATTGGTCCACAGCCGCAAGGCTCAATGCTGACCTTCCAGTCAACCACCCCAGATGAGGTCAAGCACCTCCTGGAACGGATAAATCCCTGTAAAGCCACAGGCAGTGATGGGATTCCTGGGTGTCTGCTACGTGCTTGCGCTGACCTGTTGGCTCCATCGCTTTCAGTGCTCTTCAGCTCATCGCTGAGACATGGTGAAGTCCCTCTGGCTTTCAAACATGCTGTAATAAGCCCTCTCTTCAAAGCTGGCGATCCATCGGTAGCTGCAAATTATCGTCCTGTGTCGCTCCTGCCGATCGTATCCAAACTACTCGAGAAGATAGTCCAGAAGCAACTTGTTGCACATCTGAAGCGATCATGTGCCATACCACCGACTCAGTTTGCCTTCCGCCGTGAGCACTCCACAGAGGACGCCCTAGTTGTAGCAACAGATGCCATCTTAAAGGCTCGGGACGACAAGTTGACCACAGGCGTCTGCCTAATCGACATGTCAAAAGCCTTTGACAAGGTCAATCACAGCCAACTGGTCCGGGACCTATTCGATCTCGGCCTGGACAATGCCTCCCTTCGCTGGTTCTGCAGCTACTTAAGCGATCGAACCCAGCAAGTGCGCATTGGCCCACCTACAGTGTTGCTGCTAAGTGCTCATCTGGTGTACCTCAGGGCTCGGTCCTAGGACCGATCCTGTTTAGCATGTACACCCGTGGTCTCCCTGCCATAGCCCATCCTGCTCCATCTCTGCAATTTGCCGATGACATTGCCGTGCACTGCCACAGAAAATCAGTGCTAGCCACATCAGCCTGCCTGTCAGGGGCCGTCACCAACGTCGCTGACTGGCTCAAGCATCGACATCTGCTTCTAAATGACAAGAAGAGCCAGGTCCTGTCAATTGTACCACAACGCAATGCGGGTCAGCATGTCGCTGTCCGCTGCAACCAGACAGAGCTTCCCCTGAGCCCAACAGCAAGGTACCTCGGCGTGACCCTTGACGCCGCTGTGAAGTGGGACCCCCATGTTGACGCGATGGCGAAGAAAGTTGTGCAGAAGATTGGAGCATTGTGGCGGTCCCGCAGATGTCTGAGCCTCAGTAGTCGCATCCAGTATGTGAGGTCAGTCATCATGCCTGACCTCCTATATGGGTCTAACGCCTTCTCTTCCTCCCTCAAGGTTTCGCAGCTTGATCGCCTTCAGGTCCTGCAGAACCGAGCGGCGAGAGCGGTATACGGTTTGCCGCCTCACACCTTGGCTCAGCCTCTGCTCGAACGGATGTCCCTGTACAGAGTTCGCGAGTGCTACGCCCAGAAGCGGCTCGTCCTGGTGTGGCGCTGTGTCAATGGGAAAGCCAGCAGTGTCCTCCAGGACCTATTCTCACCATCAGCTGGCAGCACCACCCGGCACCAGGTTTCCAGGGGCCTCACTGTCCCCTCGGCACAGTCAGAAGCCGGCAGATCTCGCCTGGCCTTTCAGGCAGCTTTGGCCTGGAACGCTCTCCCAGGGAGTGTAAGGGAGATCAAGGCTGCCCAGCAATTTAAGCTTGCCTCCATCCCCTACACCTTGCAAT